GGCTATAGCGACACAAAACATTTCACTCAATCACTACACTGGCTATAGCGACACAAAACATTTCACTCAATCACTACACTGGCTATAGTGACACAATACATTGTATATGATCAGTGACAATATTGCTCTGGTTACTCATGTCAGGCGGCAGAGGGTTAATGAGTACCTAGGTTAATTAGAGAGGTTAATGAGTATACCTACCTTGCCTTACTTAATTTAATGAGTATACCTACCTTGCCAGGGACAGTAGGCAGCCACGAGGCTATACAGGCGGCCATGAGAGGGCTGCTGGAGATGCTGGCGTGGCTCAGGAGGGCAGACCAGGCCAATATGAAGCTGCCGTACACCATCACGCTGGGATGCTGGCCGAACTCGTGCAGCACAGTCAGGTAATGCTGCCGGGTAATAAACGTAATCATTCAACTCATACTATTTCCTCAAATAATCATTCAATCCATACAATTTTTCTTTCAATAATCATTTACCGGTAATTCATACAATTATTCTCAAATAATCATTCGATTAATAAAATTTTTCTCAAATAATCATTCAATTCATACAATTTTTCTCAATTAATCATTCAATCCATACAATTTTTCTTGTATTATCGTTCAATTCATACAATTTTTCGCGCATAATCATTCAATTCATAAAATTTTTCTCAAATAATCATTCAATTCATACAATTTTTCTCAATTAATCATTCAATCCATACAATTTTTCTTGTATTATCGTTCAATTCATACAATTTTTCGCGCATAATCATTCAATTCATAAAATTTTTCTCAAATAATCATTCAATTCATACAATTTTTCTTGCATAATAATTCAACTCATACAATTTTTTTCAATTAATCATTCAATCCATACAATTTTTCTTGTATTATCGTTCAATTCATACCATTTTTCGCGCATAATCGTTAAATTCATACAATTTTTCTTGCATAATCATTCAAGTCATACAATTTTTCTTGTATTATCGCTACATTCATACAATTATTCTTTCATAATCATTCAATTCATACAATTTTTCTTGCATAATCATTCAATTCATATAATTTTTCTCGCATAATCATTCAATTCATACAATTTTTCTCACATAATCATTCAATTCATGCAATTATTCTCGCATAATCATTCAATTCAGACTATTTTTCTCACATAATCATTCAATTCATACTATTTTTCTCACATAATCATTCAATTCATACAATTTTTCTCACATAATCATTCAATTCATACAATTTTTCTCACATAATCATTCAATTCATACTATTTTTCTCACATAATCATTCAATTCATACTATTTTTCTCACATAATCATTCAATTCATACAATTTTTCTCGCATAATCATTCAACTTATACAATTTTTCTTGCATAACCATTCCATTCACACAATTTTTCTAGCATTATCATTTAATTCATACAATTTTTTTAACATTGTTTGATTAGAAACCTAATGACAATATCTTAATTTTAAGTACCGGTATCATTGAGTTAATGATAGGTAAACCAATATCTGAGAATTTAATGATGCATTATATATAGCAATTGGTAGTTGAACTTAAATTTCGTGAAGATTCAGTGCATTCCTTCACCAAGAAACCAGACGGTGTTCAAGGCTTAAATTTATTGAACGGTCGCCCCAGTAATCTCAAATTTGCTATGCGTTTCAAATTATAGAAATTAACTTTGATGGTTCAATGGATATGAACACATCTAAAGCGTCAATTAATAAAGATTATTCCAAATTGTTTAATTCAGCTGTGGATAGGATGAACAACGATACATCCATCTATTCTTTCGATTATCTCGCGATACAAAATATTCTTTATGTATATTGACTGAAGATGAAATCTTTGAGGGTTAAACAGAAGCACCGCAATTCGATCCAGAAAACATTGAGACCGCCATGTCCAGGTGCCGAGATAGCTTATATCGCTTAAATACACATACGGTAGCGGCTGATTTATCGTCTCTGATTGGTGGGTTGAGCTTAAGTAGCGATCAGTGATTGGCTAACATAGTTGCGAGCTCGTAACTATTGCTTATGTAAGAGGCTTATAAATATAAGGTCAATTGATGCATAGGACAAGGATTATTTACAGATTTGAATGACCTCTTGAAAAATTCATCAATAAACGTAAACTTGGGAAAGTTGAGATTTGTTATTATTAATATGGTAGCCCCTGTTGTGTCTAAATCCTGTAGTTGTAAAAATCCGCTTATTCGTTATTCAATGACAGACCAAAATTGCATTGGCAACAATTTACAAGCAATTTATCAAAATGAAAAGAATTCAGGCATCCTTTATAATGTGCAGTTGACACTATAAACAAATTACCGAGCATAAAATTGTATACACACTATAAAATTACCGAGCAGTAAGGACATTATTAGAACCTGGAAGTTATCATGCAGTCAGAACATCATTATCACCCAGCCATAAGAACATTATCAGTACCTGGAAGTTATCCGGCAGCTGTACGCCGTCGAGCTTGCTGGAGAGCTGACAGAGCTGCAGAGCGAGCTGCATGACAATCAGCGCCAGGGTCTTGATGAACTCGTAGTGCGTGGTGGCGTTATTAGCCTGCAGAGCGCGGCGAGCAGACTCGTATATCGCACCCACGCAGTCGCTGTGGAACAAACTTAGCAGCGGCAGACGCTCCTCTGCACCGCCCTTACGTGATACAACCTGCCATTTATATGAGCTGGTTAGGGTACTTGTTATAGTGAAGAATATAGTAGGTTACTTGTTATAAGGAAGATCAGCGCAGGGTATTTGTTATACAAACTCAACAGCGGCAGACGCTCCTCTGCACCGCCCTTGCGTGATACAACCTGCCGTGTATATGTGCTGGTTAGGGTACGGTGCTTGCTATATAGTGAAGAACATTGTAGGGTACTTGTTATGATGAAGATCATTGTAGGTTACGGTATTTGTTAGAAGAAAATCATCGTTAGAAGGAAGATCATCGTATCATCGTAGGTTACTTGTTATAGGTACTACCTAATGAAGATCATTGTAGGTTAATTGTTAGTATAGTGAAGATCATCATATGTTACTTGGTGAAGTGTTAAGAACATATTAGGTTATTTGTTGAAATGAAGATCATCGTAGATTACTTGTTATAGTGAAGATCATCGTAGGTTACTTGTTATAATGAAGATCATCGTAGGTTACTTGTTATAGTGAAGATCATTGTAGGTTACTTGTTATAGTGAAGATCATCGTAGGTTACTTGTTATAGTGAAGATCATTGTTTAATTCAGTACGCAGTCTTTGTCAACTATGTTGAAAATTAGCATGGAGCAGAAACGCTGCAAATTATAAAGTTCAAAGTTTGTTCTTCAATTATAATTATCTTTCATCAATTAGCTTTAAAATTTCTGTTGATTGTAACGAACTATCGCTGCTTTGCTGGCCATGACACATTCTTATAAAAGTATCATTGGCTTTAACTAAGCTTACGGCACTCACACTACCTAAAAAACATTATAAACCTTTAAAAAATCTCAGTTTTGATACCCTCATCACGCGTCTTTGCAGACAATGATGTTGTGTTTAATGAAAATGTTAAAGAAAATTATAAATAAAATTTTAATGAAAAAAAGTTTTTATAACAAATTCGTTTCCATAACAGAAAGTAACTAGAACCGCATCTCAGGCATATAATGATATATTATTTCACGAGGATATATCTTAAATGAAAAAAAAAAGTTTTATAACAAATTAGAATCAACAACAGAAGGTTAACTACATCCGCATCTCAGGCATACAATAATTTAATTTTTCCCGAAGATATATCAGTAATTTACCGCAAGAAGACACTGGGCGGCGTGCAGCTTGAGATTGTCATCGTTGAGGAGGCAGCACAACATGTGTAGGAGCTTGGCCGAGTCTGAGAACAAGTGTTGTACTGCAACCCACTCAACTAGTGAGGTCAGGCACTGCAGAACTCCCTGTAACAACAATATATCAGTTTAATATATGTCACTCCCTGCAACAACAACATATCAGTTTAATATGTCACTGCCTGCAACAACAACATATCAGTTTAATATGTCACTTCCTGCAACAACAACATATCAGTTTAATATGTCACTTCCTGCAGCAACAATATATCAGTTTAATATGTCACTTCCTGCAACAGCAACATATCAGTTTTATATGTCACTTCCTGCAACAACAATATATCACATATAACTCAGTTTAATACTAATAGTTGATAGTAATAATAATATCAGAGAGTTGTATCAGATGCGAGTTTGACACCACCGACAATAACATAAGAATATTTAGTGAAACTGTCTTCCATAAGAGTAAAATTTTATTTCTAAAAACCGTGTTTGAGGGAATGCCTCTTAGCGGAACGTTAACAAATAAAGGAAGTTATTCATCCAGCTGACAGACAGCAGCAAACCTGACTTAATTCACATTCATTTTAATTTTGCAAAGAATGTACTCATAAAATATTCTTTATGAACTATATTTTGACATTAATTGATCTAAATCCAAAATGACACTGTAATAGAATATGTAAAATTCTTTATGAACAATACTTTGCCATTAATTCATCTAAATCCAACATGACTAAGTAATAAAAAATTATATTGATATAATAAAATAACAAACTCTTGCAATCAACAGTAAATAAAATTCACTGGACCCAGATGCAACTTGATTAGGTAATAAAAAATAAATATTAAGTAATAAGACACATGATTATGACCTTCAGCAACGATAGGTTGACATGACTGCCAGGGTTGTAATGTTGCCCCAGCAGCCGCAACAACCACTCGAACGTCTCGCTCATGCCGCCTGCCAGGCACTGGTACAGCTCACGACGTCGCTTGCTGCATTCCACGGTCTGCATAACAAACAAGTCTCAATACAACATCTTGTGTGTTATTTTCAAGGCTCAATACAACATCTTGTGTGTTATTTTCAAGGCTCAATACAACGTCATTGTGTGTTATTTTCAAGTCTCAATACAACGTCATTGCTGTCTCTTATACACATCTAGATGTGTATAAGAGACAGGTGTGTTATTTTCAAGTCTCAATACAACGTCATTGTGTGTTATTTTCAAGTCTCAATACAATGTCATTGTGTGTTATTTTGGTATACAATTAAGATATATTTCAGTTCATCAAAGTACGGTCTGCATGGCATGAACAAGTCTCAATACAGCGTCTTGTATGTCCTGTTTTGGTATACAATTACGATATATTTCAGTTCAACAAAGTTTAAAAGGATAAATAACAAAGAACGTTTGCAGGCAAATACGATTTTTACAAATAATTATTATTAAACGTGCATTAAATAAGAGCAGGTTCCCATTTTCTACCGGTCAGCAATAATATAAAAACCAATTTATAGAAGAACTGAACGCCCTGTGAAATAAATGATCTTCTAAAACTGAATCATAACATGGCATGCTAGGAGCCTCATGGTACCAAAGAAATTCAATCTAAAATAAGATCCATTATTTGTACATCAAACAGTGAATAGAGGAGAAAGAAAAAGAGATATCGCAGTGAGTAGGCTAATAATGTAGAATTCAAATAAATATTTCTATTTAATTTACATTGATTATCTTGTGAATTTTTCTTCTCAGTAAGTTTATTAGTAGTCAATGAAGTAAGATATTTTGGTAGAATTATCATTATACAACAAACCAAAACTTGTTCAGTAAATAAACTTATTTAAAGAATAAAGCAGACAAAATTGTGCACTGCAGCACAAGAGCTACAAAAAGCCCATGATTATTGAGCAGTAACAAATCTGAACAACTTCTATGAATTAAAATGTAACAAGGAATAACTTTCACTCGTGTTGATATCTTGCATTTTAATGATGGACTTGATGTTATCAGAGTGTAAATTACCTTGCCTTAGCTTGATTGTAATACATTATAGTCACAGAACTAACAATAAGATCAATAATAATAGCTTTTTATTGACTAGAAAGAAAGCGTAATTTACCGGCTTAGTTATCATAAACTGAAATAATTCAATCCTCAAGTGAAAGCATTGCAAAAGTTTTGTTCTACTCAGGATGAATTATGCTTTTAAATTTTGAATAAGTAATGTGTGGGCAGTGGGCTAATCATTTAATACATATTAATAGCAGGTTAACCCTGTTTTCCCGTGAATCGATAATCCCTGAAATTTTAAAATAATCTCATCCCAAATGAAATTCCGCTAATAAGAATAATACTACCTGATGTATACCAATTATTCCAAAACCAATTACAGAAAGACATGTTCAATTTCACATCTAAATAAAAGACAGAACTGGGAAATAGATGAGATGTGCAAGTTTGAGTGACCTGCAGCACAGCAACATCCTCTGACAGTCGTGTGATGACCAACAGTACAGTCTCGGTCTTTTTAGGACCCAACAGCGCACACTCGTGTAGCTCTTCCATGAAGCTCGGCCATAGTTGTGGCCAAGTGTGCTTTGCCAGCTCCACCACCAACCTGCTGATCTGGGTACAACAAAATTAAATGGCAGATAATTCAATTAGTTGCAAGATTAATGACAAATAAGGGCATAAATGTGCCATGCAACATTTACTTAGGGTGTCTGTTGAGTACAGGACTCGCACAAAGCTTTTAATAACACTAACTTATCTACATGCAGGTATTCAATATTTCATTGAAGCTTTACCAGTGTAAACGAAAAATCTTGTTCGATCTATTGAAAAAAACTAATAAGAAAGTTGTCAATAAAACAAAATAAAACTTCAATGAAACCTGTTAAAGGAACAAATTTTGCCAACATATTACGAGTATTCAATATTCTACATGATTTGATCACGGGTTTTTGAGACCCACAAATCATCCAAACTTATATGTGCCATGAAGCATATAACTAAAGAACCACCACAATCAGTCAGGTGAGGACTACCAGTTTACCACAATAAGACTGGGCCTGCAATAATTATTGTAGAAGTGATGGTTGTGAAGACTGGGCCAATGATTTGAAGGCTGGTCTGGAAAAGCTACCTACCACACCTAGTCCCAGATGTAATCTACCAGACAATGTAAATATACTTGATCCACTATAGATGACTTTACAGTGGCTACACAATTTTCTTTGTGAGATAGACCACATAAACCAAGTATATACCGGTAATTACATTTTTCAACAATAAGTAGCTCTGCAGAAATAGGCATATAAATAAATATACATGAGTACAGTATATAGTCAAAAAAGATGATACCCATGCTCATTTATTCTTAGTGGGTGAGAGTACCAAGCCTTTTTACAAACAATATATAATAATAATTCAGTCTTACTTTTTAAGACTTTTACAATAATAATTCAGTCTTAGTCATTTAAATTGCTCTAGAAAATAAAGGCCTATTTAATTTAAACAATATTAATGGAAATTTTTCCAGATTAACAGACCTTGTCCTGAATGAATGACTCCTCAGGACCTGCATTCTGATGCGATGACAACAAGGCCATTGTATTAACCTGGTGGGATGGAGAACATAGTAATGATTCAAGGAAAAAAAGCAAGACTTGAATTTACCTTATTAAACTATTGTGAGACAGTGAAAAGTTGTTAATTTTTAAATTCAGAACTCTAGCTCCATTTAATTGTACCAATCTTTAAGCTTGCAATGATTAACTGCTGTGATGCATGTGATTTTAAATCAAATTGAGAATCATGACTCTTACTTCAAGAATGGATAAGGAATTCTAATCAATAATGTTTCTCTATCAATGCTTAAACTAATAAGCAAGCTATCAATTGAATAATAGTGCATTTGATTGATAAATAGAAGAAAATTTAAAAGGATTATAACTGCCTAATGAATCTTTCTATTGTTCTCTAATGAATTTTCAATAATGTACTGGTATAAGGATCTCAGCTTTCAGTAATTTCAAATTTTAGGCAAGTTGTTCTAGTATTCTTTCATAAAAAATAAATGCATGACTGCTCAATAATTAATAAAATGATTATTAAAATCATGAAAATAGACAGCACTGAAATTTGAATGCTGATATTTTCTGAGTGACGAGTGTTAGACAACTGTTAAATATTAAACGTATTCTCCAACATTAAAGCCATGAAGCAAGCTTGTCAATTTTTATGAAGTTTGCCATTCAAGAGTGAGCAATCCAGGGCGTATATACAATATATAGGTATACGCTATAGTATATACGTAGTATAACACATATTAAATTGATAAATAAATACTAGCACTGAATTGAAGAAATAATTAAAAGTTTGATGATGAACATGCATGCTAATTAGCCTAAAAAAGCACAGAGGGAAAACTTTGCTCATGAAGTAACACTGCGAAATTTTAGATTTGTTGCGTACATGATCACATTGCATTGCTCTGGGTAACAGTCTGATCTAATATGATTATTTGAACTCACTTTTATTGATTCCTTATCTTCCATAGATAGTTGGTTCCATTTGTACTTGATATTTATTTCAAGGAGATGAAGACCTACGTGCCGCACAATGCTGGGCCGAGTGTTGACGCTCAGCAGGAACCCACATGGAATTGAAACTGAAGGATCCTCTTTAGCCTGCCACAGATTTGTATATTACTAAATAACATGTTAAATCTACTGAAATAATACACAGATTTGTATATTACTAAATAACATGTTAAATCTACTGAAATAATAGAGCAATATAAAGAGATGCTTTGAAAAATTGCAGACATGCATAGAAAATTCAATTTATAATTGCATTAAAAATTAAATGAATACTCATTCCAAAACCATAAAATATTTTATCACATTTTTGCATTGAGGGCACATTTTAATATATTTTTACATTCAAGTTTAAAGAATAGTAAAAAATCTATGAATAAAAATGCAAAAACCTAAATAGGTATTTTTTTGGTAATCTTGTGAAACATTGAAAATAAACTGTGATTAAATTCAAACCTGTTCAAGCATTTGATAAGCTTGATGCCGTGCACTGTTGTCCACACTAGGGTTCATAGTGTGTAGTACTGCGCCCTCTAGTTTCTGTGCCAGCTCCTCGAACCCACATGATGGTGCATTGTTTGCACAACTTCCAGACATGTCTCAAGATTTTACTCAACTCAAAGTAAAATAATTTATATGTCAAGTTGAGAGATCAAATTAGAGCTTTACAATAACCACTTCTGTAGACTTTTTATAAGATAATATTATTAAATGATGAGCAGCCAAATATAAAAAATCCGAATAATTGTCACAACACTACAAACATGCTCATCTGAAACAATTTAAATGACAAGTATTAACACTGGATTCTTCATGACACATGCAATATAAAATGTAAAATAGCATGGTCTATAGCTACCTAATGAAAGTTTGAAATTGCTGCCAATAAGTATCAGTGGGAGACTGTTTTGATAGTGATCAAGCCATATTTATTTATGTAAAAATTCAACATTTGCATAAATGTTGGGAACAAGCATAATGGTGAAGAGCTGCATTGCACTACATTGGTCACTAGGTGTATCAACAAATATTTTTACCTTCTTCATGTGGACAACTAACAAAAAGTGGTACATACACATAGACTCGACAGACAGACAACTGGGTTAGTTATAATGAAAACATCAAGACCAGTAATTGAAATCATGCTAACCATCCTAATTAGTACCTAGTCAATATATGTTATACTATTGTCAAGGTCATGTCTAAATTGGCCGCAGCCAGTGTCAGCTACTTGGGTTTCCCAGTATCCATGCCAATGCCTGCTGAAGGCCTGGGATATTGCTCGCAGAGACTCTTCAAAAGAGAGTATGGAGCGGGAAGACCTATCTGCACTGTGTGCTAGATTTGCAGTCCAGTCTGCGACCTCATTTCCAGCAATCCCACTATGACCCCTCACCCAGCAGAAGGCTACGGTGCTCAGTCCTCTCTGGAGAAGCAGTGAATGTATCCTGAAGACTATTGCTGAGTAGTTGGGGCGGCGGGTGTTAAGGATCAAATGCAAAGATGCTTTGGAGTCTGTAAAAATCACAACTTGATGGTTTTTCAGTTCCATCCAATTAAGTGCCATTTC